GTTGCTTCCCTGAATAAAAGAGGAGGATCCTGTTAAGAAGGAAGACAAGGAGGAAGAATGGATACTAGGTGGCAATTAGTAGTTACTGACCCAAGGACTCTTGGCTAAGTTTTCCATATTAATAATCAGGGGGTTGGAGTATGAACCCTAGGGAGTGCTCACTTAAGACAGCTAATGGTAATCTGTATAAATTATGTACAATTATGAAAGGAAAGAGGAGGGATAAAACAGGGATTATTTCTGATAAAATACAATCCTCATTCTCAGTAAAGTGATACAGAGAAGTTGTTGTTAGGTGCTGCCACGTCGGTTCCGACTTACAGTGACCCTGTGTACAACAGAATGAAATACTGCCAGATTGTGAGCCATCCTCACAATTATTGCTTATGTTTGAACCCGTTGCTGTAGCTACCGTGTTGCTTCTTCTCATTGAGTGTCTTCCTCTTTTTTGCTGACTCTCTGTTACCCTCTACTTTACCAAGCATAATGCCCATCTCCAGGGACTGGTCCTTGCTGACAACATGTCCAAAGTACATGAGATAAACTCTTGCCATCCTCGCTTCTAAGGAGCATTCTAGCTGTACTTTTTCCTAAACAGATTTTTCCTTTTTGGCAGTCCGTGGTATAGTCAGCATTCTTTGCCAATGCTAAAATTCAAATGCATCATTTCATCTTCAGTCTTCTAAAGATGTCAGGAAACCTTTTTTCTCTCTAAGAGTATATAAGTGTAGGTAAGTATTTTTCAACAAATAAGGAAACTTTGTACTGTTTTCTACTCCTCCCTTATATTCTCAATGAGTATGTTTACTACCATTCATAATACATAAGCATCTTTTTTTCCTAAGCCTCCTATGTATTTTGTTTTTGTTGTTGTTGTTATGTGCCGTCGAGTCAGCCCTGACTCATAGCGACCCCTCCTTGGGTTTCCGCGGCAGTATCACTACGGAGATAGGATTGCCCAACCTTCCTTCCGAGGAGTGGCTGGTGGGTTTGAACCGCCAGCCTTCTGGTTAGCAGTCAAGTGCTTTAGCCTACTATGCTACCAGAGCTCCTATGTATTTTAGGACAGAAATTTTATCTTAGGACAGAAATAACCAATTAACAGATTGCACACAATCCTTTATTGCCATTGAGACTCTTTTGGTGTACTTTTTCCAGAAGTGGAATAATCCAGTACTTTGAAACTGTACTTGTAACTTTCTTTCACTAAAATACATTTGTCTTGTGTACTTCTGTAAGCAGACTAAAAGGAATTGATTTCAGGTTATTGTGTCTGTTACATACCTCTGAAAATCTTGGGTCCTGGAGGGTCTTAGGTCACATTGAAATTGTTTTATTGTCTTTGAAACCTAGGAATACCATAACTAAATTTAGTTTTACTAGCCAGTACTTAGGAGCTCTGGTAGCGTAGTGCCTAAGGCACTTGACTGCTAACCAGGAGGCTGGTGGTTCAAACCCACCAGCTACTCCTCACAAGGAAGGTTGGGCAGTCTACTTCCATAGTGACACTGCCTTGGAAACCCAAGGTGGGGGGTCACCATGAGTTGGGTCCGACTCAGAAGCACGTAACAACAACAACAGCCAGTACTTGGTGTAGTATTACTGTCAAATACTTAGTTAAGACTTTTGAAATTACGGGTCTTGGTTATATGGAAGGATCCAGTTTAAAAAAAGAAAAATTTCTTTTTCATTTGTGTTTGAAACCAATTGAGAGAGATGCAGGAACCATTCTGACAGAGATTAAAATGTTCATCTTATTCTTGATAAACTGACTGGAAAGAAACATAGCTCTAAATTTGAGGTTAGAGGAATTTGGTAACTTCCCCTATCCCTAAATTATTCCCAGTCAGTGGTAGCTTCTTTCAAGGCATGACACAGGGTCAGCCAGAATGTACCTTCTGCCTAGGCAGACTGGCCTTGAGCGAGAGGAACTGAGGTGTATATATAGGGTGTTCTTTTACTTTCACTGATCCATCAGTAAAGGCTCATATTAGAGACTCATGTACTGAAATTAAGGTTTTGGTTGCTCAGTACAGTTGCCTCCATGACAGACTGCTAGAGTTTAATGGTTAAGAGTCAGGTCAAACTTGTAGATCTAGTCAGTAGAGAGCTGTATCTATATACACTCCTTCTTGGGAAGCCATCTTGGTTGCATTATCTATTAAAACAGTAACTGTGGAATAGATTAATTTTTGCTGAAAAGATTGCTAGCACATTATTAATAAAGACTGTATTATCATGCCTTAGAGTTGTCATAACAGTAGCATGTTTTCTGTGGTTTACATAACTCTTCCTTAATGATATTCACATTCTCTTGCTTTATTGAGATATAATTCACATGCTATATTTCACCCATTTAAGATGCATTTCAGTTGTTTTTAGTATATGCACAGAGAGTTTTCAAACATTGTCATTAGCCCAAGAGGATCCCTTTGCCATCAATCTGTTCACTTCCAAAAGAGTAAAAAAAGACCTTATCCAGAAACCATTTGGCATGCTACATTATCCATTATCCATTATTGGCACCATTAGCAGAAAATTCCATAATGCTAAAATTCAATCTTTAAAGCAGTGGAGATGGTATTGTAACTGTTGTTATTCTGTGATAGTATATAATAATGAAATATTCATTTAGTTTTGTTTTTCAAGATTGATAGCAAGAAGTTTTATATAACATAGTGTAGTCATGGGAGTGATATCCCGTCACCTGTGCCATATTTTATTCATTACCAACAAGTCACAGATAGGTTCCACCGACACTCAGAGAGAAGGGTTTACACAAAGATGTGAACACAAAGGTGTGGGCCATGGGGACTGCTTATATAGTCAGCTTGCTACAGCCCTTGAGTTAGTAAATAAGTTAAAAATGTTGCTTCAGTTCATGAGTAATTTTAATTAACTTAGTTACCTTCAGCAGTAGACTGATGTTATATATTTTACCAGTGATTAAGCTCTGGTAGTGATTAAGCTCTGGTAACATAGTGAGTGCCTAAGGCACTTGACTGCTAACCAGAAGGTTGGCGGTTCAAACCCATCTCCTCGGAAGGAAGATTGGGCAATCTACTTCTGTAGTGATATTGCCTCAGAAGCCTAAGGAGGGGAGGAGGGGTCGCTATGAGTCAGGGCCAACTCGACAGCACATAACAACAACAACAAATTCAGCGATAGAAATGGTGTATAATTGTCAGTGAGTGATCATAGAACAATACTCATAGCATGTGCAACTTTTTTATGTTTGGATATTTTATGGCTTAATCTTAATCATGGAGGGAAAAAATATGATAAAATTTGCCACTGGACTTAATCTACATGCCCAGATCTGACTTCCATCTTAAAAGGTCAGTTCAGGGTTCACCTCTGAACCTAAGTGGGTTTTTATGAGTTGTTTCTTAAGCCACTGATTTCTGGGCTCTTAGGATTTTGAGTGCTAGAGTATCAAATAATATAGGTGAGAGTATTTTTTCAACTGAAGAGCACTTGTTTATAAGGGTAAATGCGGATATTGTGACTTATTAATATTATGATTTGAGAATTTGGCATTTGGAATGCTGATTCACTTAAGTTGTTATTTAGAGAAATGCTATTGTTCTTTGAACTAGAACTCTGAGTCTTATTGATACTAATATATATATGATTCTGAGGAGAGCTTTTAAAATTCTAAGTATTTTTAGAATTCTAAATATTTAGCATTACCTATAAGAAACAATTCCATTAATTTGAGAAGACTGGAAGAAGAAAAATTAAAGCAAAAGACATAGATTTTTCTTGGTTGTTACCAGCATATCAGAATTTAAAATAGGTTTTGATCATTTTCATGTAAAATTGAAAAATGTAGTTGATACTCAGTGGAATCTTTTTCTTCATCTGTGTTACACTCTCTAGTTTGATACAGTTAATTCTTGTACATTGTGGAGGGTGTGTTTGTGCATGCGTGGGAGAGAAAGAGGTTGATTTCTTACATAATTTTTCATTAGATTTGCTTTTCTGCAAAGCATGGTTAGAAGTTAGTACTTTGATCTCCAGGTTGAGATTTTAGAGGTGATTTTTTTATCTAATGAAAAATTGTGATGAATGAGCTCTATTGTCTATTAATTATTCATTATTTTACCCTATTTCTTTATCTATTGAGCAAGAGTTAAAAGGTTCCATTTTGAATATCACAAAGCAGTTTTCCTCTTCACTGTTCCCCCACTTCAGCATGGGATTAACAAAAACAAGGTAGTGTATTCTAAGGCAATAGTTTCCAAACTATGGGAATCATCTAATGGTCTTTAAAAATACTGACTTCCGGCTGCCATTCCTAGATTTTCTGATTTAATTGCTATGGAATAGTACTTGGTAATCGAGAATTTTCAAGTATTCCCAGGTATTTCTAATGTGCAAAGTTTGGAAACCCTTGAACTAACTAAAGACTGAAGCCTTGCAATAGTTAATGCAGGTTAGGTAGAATAAAGGATCCTGATGGTGCAGTGGTTAAGGCAGTCAACTGCTCACTGTAAAGTCAGTGGTTTGAATCCACCAGCTGCTCCACAGGAGAAAGATGTGGCAGTTTACATCTGGAAGATTTACAGCATTGGAAACCCTGTGGGACAGCGCTACTCTCCCATATGGTTGCTGTGAGTGAGAATTGACTTGATGGTAGTGAGTTTAAGATAGGATAAGAACATTTTGGAAATAAAGTTTTCAATTCCTGGGATCTTCATTTCAAAACACAGTTTTGCAAAGTTGGAAAATACACATAGAAATGAAAACAAGTCTACAGAATTAGTTTCGTCAATGAATGGAAATTGGGTTTTATGAATCCTCTTAAAGCAGTATCTATTGACTACTTAAATATCAGGTCTGTTTTAATTAATTCAGTGTGTGAAAAACAAAACTTAGCAAAACAAATGAACTGTAAAAACCTGGAGGTCAGACTGTTTTAGTAACTTATGAGAAAATAAATTTTCCCACACATTAATCCTTAAATGTGGAAAAATTGCTTCCCAATATTTTAACAGAGAGAGACTGAGAACACACAGCATTGAATCGTCAGGAAAACTGAAGATCTCCCCTGAACAACACTGGGATTTCACTGCAGAAGACTTGAAAGACCTTGGAGAAATTGGACGAGGAGCTTATGGTTCTGTCAACAAAATGGTCCACAAACCAAGTGGGCAAATAATGGCAGTTAAAGTAGGTGATGCCCATAATTATTTTTGATACTTTAATCTATTAGATGAAAGTTCATGCAGTAATACCACTATTGTTCTGTTCTTTCTTTTGTGGTAAATGAGTGCTTAAAAACATTATTTCTCAGGGTTTTTTGTTTCTTTAAAGGTGTTTTGTAAGGAGATTTTCTTATTGGTGGCACAATTTTTGTCTCTGGCATCATGAGTGTGTGAAGTGTGCATGTACATTGCTCTCTTGGCATAATGCATTTTAACGTGTTTTAAACTTCAGGCCCTTCCACTGCCAAGGTGAGTTCAGGCCAGGAGTCTGCACCCTGGGAGCAGGGCAGTGCTGCACTGAGCCAGGCGAGGAGCTGGAAGAAGAGGCAGCACACTGGGTTGGGCAAGGTGCGGGGCTAGGGCTAACAGCAGTCTCACTGACGGTTTCCTGGAAACCACACACATGCTGTTGCCACTAACCTCAACCTTACTCGATCCTGACCGGCTCGGCTTCTGTTTATTTCATTTCATCTCAACTCAGTACTGCCCTGTTCCCTGGTTTTAAAGTTGTATTGAAATGCGTACCTTGTGATTATCCTGTCACATTCTGTCCTTTTTGTGAGTACCATGCCACTTAATATGTTCATTTTTAAAAAAAGTGAAGAATGGCCAGAAATGGAAATCGCCCCATTTAGATTGTACCTGTCAGGCTTATGTTGATGCCCATAATGAACTTGTGGTTTCCAGCTGACTCCTAGTAGGTCTGTGTAATTTATTCATTTGTTTGTTCAGATGTCTAATGACTGGTTATGATATTTTGGGGAAATTGAGAATGGGAGCTATTTGAAAAGGAAAAGTAAAAAGAGCTAGATATGGCCATACCTTCAGTGAAAGTAAAGTTTCTGTCGTAACAAATAACATCCTAATTTATAAGAATTGTGAATGAGTTTGCAAAAACAGTCTTAGTTAATCATCTTCTGTTAAATCCCTATTTTGAGAGTTTGTTAAAGTGGTCTGATGAGAGGAGAGGCCTTTGTTTCTTTACTTGACTTTTGGGAGTGGATTTATATCATTAATCTAAAATACTGTCACTTTTGAAGTCTATAGTGAGCAAATCTTACTGTAACTTTCTTAGCCCCTTTAATTTTGAGCATTTATTTTTACTGGATCATGTAAATTTGATGATAAATTAGGAATGAAGAATTTTATGATTCTCTCTGTGGCTTTTTGGTCATTTTTTTTTTTGCAACGTGAGGAGAACTATGTAATTTTTCCTAGGAAAATGCATACACACAATTTTCATGTAACCCGTAGACCTCTAAAGACAGACTAACTAAGAACTTTTGCTCTGGATTATGTGTTGAAGTAAATGTTGTTTTCCTTGTGCCAAGGGGACAGGGAGGCCGCATCTTCTGACCTCCTCTAACCCCACAAGAGGAAGACAGAATCACCATCAATAGCCCAAGACCTATTCCTGTGAGGTCAGACATGTTGCCTCCCTCTAGCCCTTTCACCAACCCTGACACCCACTGTTTCTTCCACAGCATCCATCACCTCTCTCCTGGGTTTGATAATTCACTGCAGTGGCCACCCAAAACTCACAGATTATGGAGCTTATTAGGGAAGCACCAGGCTATAATTCAAGTTCAGGAACAATGCTCAGGTTCTCTCAGCCTGCCGTCTCTTAGCCAATAGTCTCTCTCAGTCCCTCTCCCAGCAGTGCGTGTCTTGGTGTCTCTCTCAGCAGTGCGTGTCCCTCAGGAGTGCATGTGTCTCAGCAGCACATCTTTCTCAGCCAGCAGTCAGACAGACTTCTTCTGCCTCTAGGAGGGCTCCTTCTGAGCCTGGCAGAGTGACCAAACTAACCAATCATAACATCAGAATTCTGAGCACCTGAGAGAGTGAACTTCTCAGAACATTGCTTTGTACCATTCACAGGATAGATACCCCAGGTGGATAACTTTTAACAATCAGGAGGAGCTCCTCAGTTGCTCATGGCAAATTCCACCACGGAATTTACAAAGACTTACGGCTAGAAAAGCCATACCAGGTAATTTACTACACTGCACCTTAGAATGGGAAATGATTTCTCTTTTCTTATTTTATGCCACTGCAATATAAGTGGGAGGAAAGTAATTTTATTTAGACTCTTGGATTAGTGTTGCATTGCCCTTATATACTATTTGTGTATATTACCTGGTTTTAGTTGGCTCATTTTTAAGGGAAAGCTTTCATATATATAGCTAAAGTTCTAAGCTTTTCTCCCCTGCGGCAGGAAAAGTATTTAAGAAAACTATTTCCTGCTTTTTCAGTCTGTGCTGTGCACTTCTTGATGTTGATCAAAACCATAATCTGTTTTAGTAATATAGATTGACTTGAGCTATAGTTAACACGTTTTAGAGATAAAGAAGGTGTTTCATTTTGGCATAAAAATTTTCTTTCATGATTAATTTGATATTATAGAATTTGGAACTATATAATGCCAACTCAAGTTTTGAAGGAATTTAAGAGTGAAACTAGGAAATTACTGTTCATTGTTGGTAATCTGACTTTATAAATGGCTACTGTGAGGACCTTCATTGAAATACTTTGAAAAATCCCAACTCTAAAGAAATACTTCCAAGGTAGTCATGGGATCTACAGACTATACCTACCAGATGGTACAGTTTACCTTTGTTTATCACCTTGAATTCTCAAGGAAGCCTGATAGCTTTGATGGGAGAGGATGGCGATATGACTTACATCAGTAAACATGGATAGGAAATTCCATTGAATTCGTTGGTTTCATTAATACTGAAAGAATAAGCATTTTTACATTTGTATACACTGATTTTCAACTTTTACATCTCAGTCTGTGTTTGTTTAGGTAAATAGTGTATTTCTAAAAATCTGTCCATGTTCTGGTTACCTAGTACCACTCTAACAGAAATATATACCACAAATGAGATGGCTTTAACAAACAGGAGTTTATTCTCTTAAAATTTGAGGCTTTAATTCCAAGTTCAAAGTGCCAGGCTCTAGTGGCTGGGTGAAAACCCCTCAATCTTGGGGTCTAGCTCTGCCTCCTGCTTCTGGCCCACTGGAGCTAGGGGCATTTCTTCACTCAGACAGCTGCTAGCTGCTGAGGCTGACAAACCCAAGGTTGACAGATAAAAAGGCACAGTCCTGATGTTACCAAACCACATGGCAAGCCATTAATTTAAGTACACTTTAAGTCCCAAGGTCGGCAGAACATGACAGGCTGCTGAATAATGACATGGCTACATGCAGGGTCCAGGCGTGCCATAAGCTAGAGACTGTTCCTAAAGCTGCTTCTCATATATGGGAAGCAGACCATATCCCAGAGGCAGCCACTCAGCTGCTTGTGGTAGATCCCACCATGGAGTTGATGGCCAGTCTCATCATGGGGAATACTACCACCAGCTGTCCAGCCATTCAACCAGGTCCAGCCAAGTTGATACACAAACATAACCACTACAGTCTATTTCTTCTAGATTTTCAAATTTGTTGGAGTACAGTTCTTCATAGTATCCCGACACTGTCTTTTTTATTTCAGTTGGTTCTGTTGTGATGTCGTCCAGTTTGTTTATTTGTGTTATTTGGATTCTCTCCCTGTTTTCCTTTGTTAAATTTGCCAGTGGTTTGTCAATTTTATTAATCTTTTCAAAAAACAAATTCTAGTCTTCTTGATTTTTTTCTATTGTTTTCCTATTTTCTGTTCCATTTATTTATGCTCAAATCTTTATTATTTCCTTTCTTCTGGTGATTGTAGGCTTTTCTTGCTGTTTTTTTTCTAATTTTTGGAGATGTTGGTTTAAGGTATTGATTTTGGCATTTTCTTCTTTTTTTTTAAAGTTGTGATTTGGGGTGAAAGTTTACAGAGCAAATATACTTTCCATACAGCAGTTCACACACATGTGAATTGACATTGACTCCAGTTTACCCCAATGGAAAAGCTCCCCTCCCACATCCTCCTGACAGTTAACCACTTCCTTGTGTCCATCCCTCCATGCACTCCTGCCCCTTGAACTGTCGCCCTGTGCATAAATAGCCCTTCTTTCTCCCATGATTGTTCTCTCCATGGAGTGTATCTACCTTAGGTAAATGTTCAACTCATATTCCTATCTTTTGTCTAGCTGGAAGCCACAGTGTCAGTGGTCCCACCAGGCTCTATCAGATCAGCAAACCTGGTTCCCCCCTTTTTTTTCCAAATGATTTTGAGTTTTGTTATTGTTCTCCCTCTCTATTCAGGATCTCCTACATAGTTCCCTCTCTGAGTGGTTGACAGTGGTAGCCAGGCACCATTTAGTTCTTCTGGTCTCATGGTATAGGCTGAGGATCGCATGGTGTACCAGTTGCGAGGACTAATTGTTTCCATGAGTCTTTGGTTTTCTTCATTCTTCTTTGCTGTGGATGAGGAGAGACCCTTTGTTGTATCTAGATGGCTGCTTGCAAGCTTTTAAGCTCCCAGTCCTTACTTGCCAAAGTGGGAGGTGGAATAATGTCTTGTGTAGTATGTTATGCCAATTGAGCTTGATGTCCCCTGCATCTGTGGTCCTGAGCCCACAGGTTCAACTACTTGCTCCCTCTGGGTAGCTGGCTGTGACCGAGATCTTTCTTCTTTTTTGATGTGTGCATTTACTGTTGTAAATTGGCCTCTGCTCACTGCTTCTGCTGTGTCCCAAAGATTTTGGTATGTTGTGTGTTCATTCTTATTTGATTCAAGGAATTTTTGAGTTTCATTTTTTATTTCTTCTCTTACCCAGTCTTTCTTAAGGAGGATAGGGTGTTTTCATTTTCCATGTGTTTGCTCTTTTTCTGTTGATCTTCCTCTTGTTGATTTCCAATTTGATAGCATTGTGATTTGAGATGATGCTTTGCAGTATTTCAATGTTTTTAAATTTATTAAGGCTTGCTTTATGGCCTAACATATGGTCTATCCTGGAGAATATTTCATGTGCACGGGAAAAGAATGTGTATTGTTCTGTTCTTGGGTGAAGTACTCTGTAAATGTCTATAATTTCA